AGTAATATGTGAAAAAATTAAACAGTAAAAAGAGAGCAAACTGTAAAAATATATATATATTTTGCACACACATTATAAATTCCTCCCAATACTCGTTGAGTTTAATCGGGTTGAGAAGTTTTTAAAGTTCTATTTTTCATTTCTTCAAATATCCTTTCTTGGTGCGTCTTCTTTGCCTTCAAAAATATTGGAAACATTTTCTCCCCATATTTTCTTTTTCCTGACAGCTTACTGCGAGGGGCGGAGCAAATGGGGATATACAAGACCGTAAAGCCCCAGTTTGGTGGCGGGATGCGGCGCTTTTCCTGTGAGGAGGATAATATCTATGAGAACATTGAGAGCGAGCTCTGCTTCTTCACCTCACAGGTTAGAAATCCACACTTCCTGTCCTTGGCGTCGTCCTGAAATGCCGCCATGTTTCTCAGATCTACGTCTCGGAACAATAGGTGCCATTTTGTTTCAGTGTTCTTGTTGTCTTTAGGAGCGTCAGAGCATCATCAAGTATTGGCTGGATAACCTGCGTGCCAAACAGGGAGAGATGCTCCACAACATCCACTTCTTGGAGGGACAGCCAATCAGTGAGCTGATCTTCAGCCTCTAATGGCTCCATTTCTTTCTCTTTATTTGATCCAGGGCTGCAAATAATTAGTATTTTTCAAATCAATTAATCTGTGGATTATTTTTTTGATTGATTGATTAATAATCGGATAGTAAAAGCATTGGCGGTTCTAGACAGGGGCCAGTGCCCCTGTAGATCATATCCTGGCCGCTCTATTGAAGATATAATACTCAAAGAAAATACTAATGATGATAAACACATGGTAACTGATACGTCCTTCGGATCTATTTTATTTTTTTTCTTTAAAAATTGTGTTTTACTAATTATTTCCAAACAATACTGCGATAGCTTCAGTGCTATTGCGATAGGATCTGTTTCTTCTGCTAAATTTTTTTTTTCAAAACAAATTTAAAAAAAAACTCTACTTTTTACAGCTGAATTTATCCGTTTTTCTTGAGTTCTAATTCAGATTTTATAGAAAACAGTAATTTTAACTTAAATTAAGCTAAAATAAAGTAAAATTCCTAAATTATGAACGTATATTGAACTAATAAGACATAGATTTGTAATTAAACCTAATCGAATAGAAATTTTTACTTGATGCAGCTCTCTTAAAATATTTGAATCCCTTTCCCTGTTTTTTATTTTATGCTTTTTTGTGTCCCCATGAAAACACACTGCCCCCCCTTGTTTTAAATTTGTAAAAAAGATTTTTTTACAAATTTAAACCAGCTGAAACAAAAAAATTTCCACCTGAAAAGTTATTGATAAAGCATATTGGCAGATGAAATAGTTCTTTTTTTATCTTAAAGGTAAAATGTTTATATTTTTTTACAATTTAGATATATTTGCTGCTCTCTGTGAGTCGCTCTGTCAGCTAAAGGCATCTTTTAGAATCTCTGTACTCCAGTTTTAACTATTAATTCATTTCTAAATTAGTTGACTATTATTTCAATTATCGATTAATCATGATTTATCCGTTTAATTGTTTCAGCCCTAATTTTATCCCTTAAATTGTAGAACATGTTTTGAAAGTATTTGTTTAATGGGTTTTTATGATCATAGCAATCCAGAAAAATATTTATTCCCCTTCAAGTTTTGCTGGTTTACAGAAGCCCAGAGCGGCCGTCTCCCTCCGATACTTTTTCACGGTGGTTTTCTCAAGAAAAAAAGTACATTTTCTATGGAAGTAAATCTGTGTCTCTGGGATTTGAATTAAAAATGCCACTGAAATTTAAATGTTGTATGTTTGTTCTTACTGTTTCACTGTTAAAATATATTCAGAACACATTTTTGACCTAAAAAAATGTCATTGTCATTATTTCTACACAGTTGAAATTTCATTTATTTTCTCTTCAAGCTAAAAAATCACATTACTATTTCAAAGTGATTACATTTTCAATACTTATTTTTCAGTTTAAATTTTCAATATTAAAAAAATCTGCATATAAAAAAATTCAACCTTTCAAAATTCAAACTCAATATTTTCAGCCTCCTGAGATTCAACTGGCTCTATTTCACCGTCTTAAATTCGGCGTCTAAATTCAGTGTAAAAAGGGAAGCCAATCCCGTTACGTTTTCTTAGTCACGT